TTCCTCTTTTTCCGTTCTTTCTCTTTTATCTATTGCGGGACAGTAGTTGAGGTGCTTGCCACCTTGAGCTAACATTTATAATGATGATGATATACAACTAAACGTGTGTAGCGTTTATCTTAGCGTGAAATGTTAAGTATTATATCACGCGATATGACTATTGACCAGATGATTACCCTTCTGATACCGCCACCTCGGGTACTGCTTCTATATGTCTACTGATCGTTACTGGCTATCACGATGCGCCATTCCCTGTCCATCGTTTGATTAATTAACCGGTAGACACCAAACTCACGTGCTAGGTACCCGCTATCAAGATATTCGTTGCATATACATTCGGACGGATGTTTATTGTCACATCCATCTTTATGGATGACCAGCTATAATAGTTAGAAAATTATCAAGGCAGCAACCTCCTTGGAATAGAGCGTTGTCATCATGTTTCGGAAACTCACTGGTCTTCATTTAGGTCTAGTCATCTAAAATTAGACTGGTCCCTTTTCAGGTGGGGATCGCGCTACCCTCGCAGTATCCGTGGCCCACGTGCGACTGGTGGTGGTTGCGCGTCAGCGAAGTGCCTGTACGCACTAGCGAGGGTACCTTACCATGTCTTTTTCTTTTAGGGGATGCATTACTCACGTATATGCACTTAGTCAAGTGCTGGAACAGCAAATGCAAAAATGGCCAACCATTGTAGTTTTCCTTGAATTTAGGGATACTTGATACAGTTCATCATACCAGGTTGTAGCAGTACCCATCCATGAAGAGTGTACCATGGAAACTCTTTTTTTGTATGAGTCTGTGAAAAGCTGTCTTACAAGTGCTCCACAGCATGTGATAGATATAATCATGACTGTCTTTCTAGCCTTTTCCTTGAGTGAAAGTTCTGTCGGGCTAAGGACTGACAACATTTGAATGCGTGGGTCAGACCCAGCCTCTGCGCAAACGCTTCTGGATAGATTGGCAAAACGCACCGCGTAATTCGGCATGTTCTTTCCACCTTGGGAATGCAAGGTATTGTGTAGTTCTTGGCCGATGCGGTGTCGGTTCCATCTGTCACCGAACAGCCAATATGAGTAGCCGTTCTGTTCACTTTGGTAATCGCACCATCTTTACTGCTCAAATGGCCGATGTGGTTTCATCACGCTTCAGCAACTTCCGTTGGGCTTTCAGTCTGAGTCGGTGGAGGCAGTGAGATATCATGACAATAAGGGACAACGCATGCAACTCTGTGGTACGGCCGTTGTTACTGTACGGGTCATATACATGACCATGCGCATTTAAAACACTAGGAAACTAAGTCTTTGTTCACCTCTGCTTGCTCATATATTGTGGGACCAGTGAGTGAGCTCTCTGGTGCAGCATTGGTCTTTTAAGTTGGGCTATTTACGCAGATTAGGTTGTCGTTTACGCGCTGATGATCAGCTTCAGCTTATTCTTTGTCATTGTCTCACCAAACTGGGTGAAGCCACAAGGCGGCTAGCCGATGACTTGACAAAAAGCTGTGAACAGGTTGATCGAGAGAATTGTTCAGAATTTCGCCTTACTGCTTGGGTGCCTCGGGGCCGAGCACACAAATGCTTGGAGACTACTTTACATGACGCAGTTGTGGAGTTGATGGTGCCTCTGATTTCGAACTGTCAGCTTTCCAGCCCTTTTTCTTGACCTACATTGTTAAGTCATAGCGGTTCTATTCATGACAAACGGTTATGTTGCACTCAGCTTAGTTGTTTAGCTAAACTGCATTGTGTACATGCCAATCATAATCAGCATCATTATACACGTTAGCTATAGGTGAGAAACGCCTCAGCTGCTGTGCTGAAGTGCATAAAAAAGAAAAATTACCAACTTTCAACAGATGCAAACCGGCTGAGCTACCAGTAACAGATGGGCATCGTTCCGGAAAGCTACCAGCCGACTGCTATACAGCAAAACATTTATTATGCAAATTATCTAAGGCTAAGCAGTGAGATCGTGGTTGAACGGGAAGGCTAAGAGGGATGGGACGGACAAAGAAACTCACAGCACGAACGCCATTGAGGTCGGCTCCTAACCATGTCAGCAAGTCTATCCAGCCAAACTTGTTCATCGTCTTTCGGACTCCAACCAGGGAGCCGAGACGCTCCAACCGAGGCCAGCTTCGAAGTGAGGGCCTTCATTCCTCTAAACCAAGTCATCTCTTGGCCACCCCTCCTCTTTTCCATCCCCGCCCCCGGGCGCGCAAACAACGCACGTCGCGGGAGTCGGTGGGCTGGCATGCGTAACACGTGGCCCAATCATCGGAACCTGGTGCGTGAAATAACGGTGCTGAGCGATTCATTTCCTTTTCCTGTGCCGTAAACGAGGCGTCGAACACACTCGTTGCTCACTCGGTGTTCCCACCAGATGTGAGCCAAATTGCGAAGGCACCGGTGGTCGAATGTAACTAGTCTCTTTATGTCCACTGATCTAAAGGGTCAGATTTCACAACCGTACAGTATGGTCGGCTGCATTGTACACTCTGCCCTTCAGGATGAGAGTGATATCGCGCCGGCGCCATAGGTTAGCAAAAGCGCCTCGAACTTTTGCTATACGGTTCGTGACCTCATCTTAAATCCAACGGTCGCTGATCCAACTTCCAGGTAGTTGAATTTTTGAACGACTTCTAGCTGATCCTCACCAACGGTCAGGGCAGGAGGTGGTCTAGGCCAACCATGGAGGAAAGCTATGCGCTTCGAGGGTGCGAAGCAAAACCCGAAGTGACTGACAGCCAGCGTTAATGTGTCCAGTGCAGCTTGGCAAGTTTGTGAGCTGTCACAGATTAGGGCAATATCGTCAGCATACTCCATGTCATGAAGTCGTTCTCCTGAGGGCAGATCCACACCTTCTAAGTTGTGTCCTGTGAACGCAATTTCCATGACGTGGTCATAGCGAAGTTGAAGAGGAAAGGTGACACTGGGCATCCTTGTCTCACACCGCTGGAGATATTGAAGGGCGACGACAGCTGGCCGTAGGCCCTCACACTGCCCGAGCTACACGCGTATAATGCTCTGATAATATTTACATATTTCTGGGCACATCTTTCCTGACTAGACAGTACCAAAGGGCACACCGATCCACCAAACTGAATGGACCTTTAATATCGAGGAACACGACAACGGTGGGCCGCCAACATAAGTGACGGAGCTCCAACAACTGACACAAAGTGAAGATGTGGTCAATGCAGCCACGACCTCTAACGTTTTTTCACCCTTTTTTGTCCCCTTCCAGTTGTACAACTTCAGCTCAAAAGCACGGCATATGCAGCCCAGGTGCCAATAGAGGTACGTCCACAACGATGATTTCATTGATGTGGTCAGATACAAACAATTGCAATTGTTCTGTTACTGTCCATACCGTCCCACTGTTGGGGTAATCATTAAAATTAGAAGTTAAGCCACTCGGAAGGTGATATTGAGTAATGTCCATCACTGGAATGCACAGAACGTAAACAGGCTTTTAGTTACGAAGGCATATGCAGTTTCCCATTGATCGGATCAGCTGGAAAGGCAGATGAAGTAGGGCACCTACAAAGAGCATAAATCACTTCAAAACACAGATGGCGAAACAAATGTCAGAAAAAGAGTGCGCCATCATATTGGCCGCGTGAAAGCATGATCGTGTTGAAGAGCCTACTGTCTTGGCTCGCTGCGATAAGTTAAAAGCGATGTTTATTTACACTCTGTCAGTCAACTATGATTGGATACGTATACTATCTAATCCGATGATGGATGGTGTCATGTTCTTTGATGTTCCAAGCTAGCCATAAGATCGGTCTCTTGGCCCGAAGCTGGAAAGGGTTAAACGAAATAACCGGGGAATCCAAAGGTCAGAAACGTTACGTGTTGCAGCCAGCACAATGGTCATGCTCGATGAACTTTACGCCGGTTTATATACGGTAAATGGTGGGCTAGTGCTACCAGTACGTGCTAAAGTCAAAGTAACTAATTTACGCATGTCTGTTAATCCGCGCTTATAACCCTCGCCCAACGGTTACAAAAGGCGTGGATGCAGCCACGCTGGTATCAATCTATATACGTATAAAACACTGGTGTGGATGGTCACGTCTCAAGTCACCCGACATCCTTAGTCTAAACGCTATACGGAAGAGTAGCTCTCATGACTCTCCAGGCAAACGGTAAGAATTTTCCAGTGCCAAAGCAGTAGTCCTTGCTTCTTGACATGTTAAATTTCAGCTATAATGCACAGGTACACTAATACAGCAGTCAATTCAGATGGATCCATCGCCAACCTCCAGATCACGTCTTTAGAGTCAAAGGAATGACGAGGGACTAATATTCCCGTAAAAACGTTCGGAAATTTTGGGCCGCTAAAAAATGGGACGGCTCCGGATGGTCTGCCCAGTGTTCACTCAGTCGGGTAAAGAGTTGCATATTTCTCGTTACCACTAAACTTCTTCTGTCCGTTACCCCTTTAGCTATCGTCTCCATTCACTAAAGAATAGATTCCAAAGAAGTGATTCCTCACTGGCTGGTCTGACTGATAGCTGCGTTATACAACAGGACTATCGATAGCTTCTTAATTGAGGTGCCATTGTGTTTGTGAAGTATAACAATGAATGCTTTTGGAGCTAGAGCTCTTAATGTGCCGAATGGCTAGTTGGAAGTATTGAATGTATCGCTTTAGGCAAAATATATCGTAGTGTTTAAACAGTCATGTAAAGTAGGAACTTTTGGGGGTGAAGTGAATTAGATACAAGTAGACGTACTGGAGGGACGAAACAAGATTCGCGCGTTAATTTGTGCTTAAACGGCGCTGTTGCTCGCATTAAAAGAGTGTAAGATAAACGAGACTAGTAACAGTAATATCACTTGCACGATGAAGCTGAAAACAGTGTCGTTTAGTAGAGGTCGACTGAAGAAAAAGGTTGCGTTTTGTTAAAGGTTGCAACTCAACAGAGCTGAGCGGAGATTCCAAAGTTAAGCTGCAGGGAACCAACGGATAAAAAGGAAAAGACCAACCTCTGAGTTAAATCCGGATAAGAAATGTGGACCAGCAGAGGCCCCCATTATGGCTGCTACAGGAATGCAGGTCAAACTGCAAGCATTGAGCAGATCGTACTTCTGAAAACAGCTACCATGAAAAAGATGGTATTACCTTGTTTTCATTTGGGACAGGTAATAAGTAATCAAAACTTCCAATATCACAAATAGTTTCCGAACCACAGAGGCCTGGTACACCATGTCTCTCGCTCGAACTTACCCTTGAAAGCCAAGTTGTAGGTGGTAACCAAATCTGGACAGTCGGTGATGCCGATAGAAACCTTAGAGAAGCAACCACTGAGGTGGCTATAAAGTGCTACAAAGCAAATAGGCTAAACGAACAAATACCGTCCGCCAGCTCCTCTAGAGGAGGCTGATATAGCTCATGAAGCATCGTGATGGAAATTGCCAGCTCAAAAGTGTACACTAAGAAGCCAAGTTAAAATTGAAGTGGGCTTGAAAAGATAGGAAAATGCCGCGAATGCTTCGTGCTGTACAGGTCTTGGATCCGCATATCGAAGAACCTAAAACAAAGGGCTTGGATCACACCCTGGCTAACTAATCACAATCGTTCCTGTTGTGTCGAGCATGTGAAACAGTAGATCAAAATCAAAAGGGAAGAGGAAGACGGAATGAAGTGGTACGACGAGAATATAAAAGCTGGATGGGAAGCACAGAAAAAAATTATTCCGAGGACAAAAGTCGCTCAGGCTGGTGGAAATGTTGAGTATTACCACCCAAGCACATACGGCCTTCGTACCAGAGCCCAACCAGCATATAACCTAAGCCCAATGGATGCGAGTTGAAGAGGCCGATAACTCTGCATTCCAGTGCGCGGTTCGTGCAGCTTCGTGGGATGACAGCGAAGATTAGGTAATCTAGTGGGAAAAAATAACCAAGTTAGGTCAACACGGCCTTATGTGTGATGATGCGGTAGATAGAGCCCAATGCTCTTGTAAACCCTGATTCCCCAGGCTGAAGCTGCTCCGGCTGATTGAATCCCAAGCAGCAGCCGAACGTGCGCCGTCTGACTGGCTGGCTCGTTCAAAGTGTTGAAGTCGCGTGGGACTAACAGGTGCCAATTTGTCATCGCTGTTTACGCGCCCACAAACCAGCGATGACTCGGTGGAAGACAACTTCTGTCGCTAACTGAGAGGGATCTGAACGTCCAAGAAGGAAAACTGTCCACAGATGAGGTGCATTTGAACGACTAACACGGTGGAGGTCCCCGTAATAATAACGGTGAGCAGCTACTTCGAGTGTGAAGATGCTCGACTATTTCTCGTGAGCACTAAATTCCGACACAGCAATCGCCGAAGTGACATGGCGCGCACCAGCCTTAGACCAACCATGGAGGCAAATCAGTGGCACCGCGATTATTTACCGCAGGAGAGATCGCGTACAAAACTGTCGCTAGACTTGTAGCACATGCGTGGACACCGACCATGCACTTGTATGCGCTGATTTGCGAGCGCGTTCTGGCGCACGCAAGCGACGACGCTATGAGCGCATTAACATCAGCCAACTGATGAAGCAAAATGCTCTGAATGCGTATCGAAATACGCTGGCACTCGGGATGAGTAAGCGGTCACTGAATACAGTCGAAAGTCATTGGTCGCACATTCACCAGACCTCAACAACAGCAGGCATGTCCTCATATGGCAAATCAAATCGCCAACCTGGACACTGGGTCTCTACGCAGCCACTGGAATTTGAAGACGCTCGCCAGCATATTCCGGCTGGAAGCGAACATAACGAGACTCACAAAGGCCTCAGGGCAGAACTCCGTGCTAAGTTGAAAAAGCACGAATCGTGGTGGTCTCATTGTGCACCAGATATCGAAGTGGTCACTGCCCTTGGTAACCATCGGAAGTTATTCCGTCAGATACGCGAAAGGAGCAGCAAGAGACCTGGTGTTAGTGATACTATTTGTGACGAGAGTGGACAGCCTATCCACAGCTTGTCAAAACGATTTTAGTGTTTGGTTGAGCATTTGAAAAGCAGTTTAATCGGCCAGAATCGTTAGATTTCTCTCCGGCCAGTGATTTCTCTGTTCATTGGACTGTCCCATTGGATCCGCTCTCTGGCACAGAAATCGAACGTGAAATCAGACTGCTGAAGCTGAATAAGGCCGCGGTGTCACACGATCTTCGTCGATCCCTCTTCGAATTCGGGGGATCTACCCTTGTTGCTGATATACACGAATTACTAGTGAAACTGTAAAGGCAGAAAACTGTCCCAACCGACTGAGACTGCTCCGTTACTGTCCCAATCATCAAGGGAAGCTCATGTTCGGAATGCGGCAATAGTAGAAGAATCAGCCTGATCGCATTTGCCCCTAAACTGTCTGTCTGACGTTCTCTGCAGACTGACTGGCACTCGTGAAAGCCACGTTCGTGAGGAGCAAGCCGGGTTTCATTAAGGTCAAGGCTCCATTGACCAAATCTTCACATTACGGCGATTGTTGGCGCACCGTCACATATATTGGTGACTCACCGTTGTGTTTCTCGACATCAAAGGTGCCTTCGACCTGGTGAATAGATGTGTCCTTTTGTATTGTCTGCTAAAGAAAGGTGCGCCCGAGAAATAGGTAAATATTTTTCAAGTGCTTTAGGCGAGTAGCCCGGGCAGAGTGAGGACTTACGTCAAGCTGTCGCTGCCTTTCAATGTCTCCAGCGGTGTAAGACAGGGATTCCGGCTGTCAGCTTTTCTCTTAAAATTCCCTATTGATGTCATGAAAACCGCGCTCAATGAACGCAAGTTAGAAGGTCTGAAGCTGTACCAAACTAGATGGCTTCTTGACATGGAGTATGCTGACAACATTGCCCACATTTTTTACAGCTCACAAACATGCCAAGTGGTATTAAACAGCTTAGCAGTGTCACCAGTTTCGGACTTTGCTTTAGACCTCAAAGTGCGAGGCTTTCTTTAGAAATGTAACCGCCTAGGCAGTTGTATCAGTGTCTGTGGAATGGAAGGCGAAGTCGCGAACCGCAAAGCAGAAGTTCGAAGCGCTTTTGAAAGACTTCGTCACTTATGACACCGGCGCGACAACTCTCTCCCTGAAGGGTGGAGATTATAATGCATCCGTACGTTCGACCCTACGGTACGGTTATGAAACATGGTCGACCAAATCGGCGGACATAAAGAGGCCACATAGGTTCGACTACCGGTACCTTCGCAGTTTGGATCATATCTGGTAGGAACATCGCGTGAGCAATGTGACTATCCGGAGCCTTGTTTATGTCACAGGAAGAGGGAGTGAAGCGCTCAGCACCATTATTTCAAGAATCAGGCTCCGATGGCTAGGTCATGTGTTGAGCATGCCAGCCCATAGACACCCGCGAAGTGTTTTTCGTGCGACCAGGTTGTGGATGACGGAAGAGAGATGACCAACCGACGACATGATCAAGAGAATGAAGGCCTTCAGTTCGAAATTGACTCCAGTTGGAGCCTCTCGGCCTCCTGGATAAGGTCCGAAAGTCGATGAACACGTCTGAGTGGACACAATCGTTTATTTCAGATTCAGATGGACTGGAACGATAGGAAAATCCCTTGAGTGTTCCTTCTTGAGCAAACCGTTGAGCCAGGAAATGATTAGGTGCTAGTTCTTGATAGATCTAAAACGAAACATCCGAAACACCCTGATCAACCAATTACTGCCCACGTTCCCTGCACTAACATAAACAGCAGTACATCAGCCATGTGAACTGATGCTTCGCTGCCATACAACCATGAGCACCTATGAAATAAACAATAAGAAGATGGAGAGAAGGGGGACTTACCTGAAAACTTTAATGCCCTAAGCAAACATTCTGGGTCAAGGCGCCTACACCTTGTGTAGACAACATTCCGTCACAAACAGCTGGCAATCGTGCAAAGATAAGGCGGCATCGGCGAGACAGCTTCCTTGCGGCTTTCACTGCCCCGCGTCATAATCAGCCACTACCCAGCAGATAACTCAGCACCAAACACACTTTAAACAGGCAATCCAATTAGGAGACCGCAGCAGACGCGCCACTGGTGTCGGTTGCGAGCCATGTCCTGCAAAGTCTCGAGCCAAGCACAAGGCGAGTCATGTCGACTCCAGCCCGGAAGGCGAGACGGACCAACGTCACCCAGTTTGGTTGTCAGTGACTTCATTTCCTGCTGCCAAGTCAACTTCTGTCCACCTCGAGCCTTGCGCCATCCTACACCTGGTAGACTGAACAAGGCTCTCCTAGGTAAGCGGTGACCAGGCATGCGTAGCACATGCCCGAGCCAACGCAACTTATTCAGTGCTATCTGTTGTTCTAGGGTGCGAGAATGATTATCATTACCTAGTACTCGCCTACGCACATCATCGTTGCGGCAACGCAATGCTTCGCAAACAACGATGATCAAAGACTTGAAGGCACTTCAGATCTTCAGACCGAAGGGGCCAAGTCTCACTAGCATACAGCAGAACGGACCTCACTGTGGCTTTGTATACACGGCCTCTCAGACGGAGGGAAACTCCCTTCTGTCGCCAAAGATGCCGTAAGTTCAAGAAGGCAGCTCTGGCCTTTGCAATGCGTGAGCTCACGTCAGTTTCTATGAGCCCATCATTGCTGATGCAACTGCCAAGATAAGTGAAATGATCAACCACCTCGAGTTCCTCGTTAGAAAGCGTCAAGGGGTCATCAAGTGGCTGGTGGTCCTGCAGCAACACTTGGCACTTTAAAGGTGCGAAGTGCATACCAAATAATGGGACCACTCTGGACAGGCTATTCAGGGTTGATTGTGCCGCCGCAACATCGTCGAAAAGTAAGACGATATCGTCCGCATAATCTAGATCAACTAACCTTTCACCAGGCAGCACTTCAACGCCTACATAGTTGGATTCCGTCAGGGAACACTCCATGACAGAATCCACGACGAAATTGAACAAAAAAGGGGAAATCGGACAAACCTGACGAACGTCACTTGTAGTCGAAAAGCTATCCGATAGGACACCATAGACCCTGACGCGGTCTATAGAGTTCATAGAGTTGTAGAGAGCAGAACGG